GCCTTTTAATCAAGCAAATTTAAGCGTTTCTCTAATAGAAACTTGAAGCAAAAGTAAGAAAATAAAGTATATATGGAAATTTGCCGCAGTCAGAATATTTCCTATTACTACTAGGTTTCTGTAACATAGCTTAAACTCCACGATTGAGGGACCTCTATAAATACTACCACTAACCTAAACTAAGTTTTCATCGTTGTTTCTTCTCTTTCAATGGCTTCCCTTACCAACCACTGTTTCTTCCTCATCTTGCTGTTAATCATTTTTGCTGCTTCTTCCGCTAAGGCACAGAAAGAATCTTAGCTTTGGAGGCAGTGACTCTGCTTCTACTTCTGATCATTTTGCCGCTGTACTTGGTCTGCCTTCTCTACAACATTACACCAACGAAGGCGTTGAGTTCGAGTCCGGTATTAGTTTCATGACGCCTGGAGCAACAGTTATGACGGTCCCTTTTCCTTCATCAAGAATGGCATCCCGGCACCTCAACAGTCTCATCACTCGCAGATTTCTGCCTTTATGAAACTCTTCTATAAGGATTGCTTTCTCTTTTCATGACTGCGGCAGGAACAATTCTTCAGAAAGCTATCGTCTATATGGATCAGCCTGGTTTTAATGATTACAAGTACTCTCTTTTACATACAAAATCTATTTCCGAAGTGTCCAAACTTGTCCCTGATGTTGTGGAGACAATCAAGAGTTCTATCGAACAACTGATCAAAGATGCCGAGGCCAAACACTTTGTGGTTACTGGAATTACTCCCATGGGTTGCCTTCCAGGTTTTCGAACAATGTTTCCCGAAGACGACAATAGCAGGAAAATTAAATATCACAAAGGACTAAATTTGTTCGCAACATTACACAATGATCATCTATGGCAAGCGTTGGAGGAGCTGCGATTGAAGTACACTGAAGTTGAGATCATATATGCAGATTATTACAAGGCGCTTATGGCGGTTGTACGCAATCATGCATTCTTGGGATTCAAGACTAAGACGTTGATGAAGGTTTGTTGCCTGCTAATACCCCGTAGGCTGAGGAGCAAAAGGAGGAATCCGCCCGAGGAGGGGCTCGCGTCTGATTAGCTAGTTGGTGAGGCAATAGCTTACCAAGGCGATGATCAGTAGCTGGTCCGAGAGGATGATCAGCCACACTGGGACTGAGACACGGCC